CACGTGGGTCCCTTCCTGTCAACACCGCGTCGCCACGGCCTTCACCCCGCCGCCTTTCGCGGCCCTGCGTGGCGAGTACAAGTTCCTGACGCTTTCCTTCCACGTCCAGCGCTTCTGGTGAAAAGCCTTTTTAAAGGAAAAAACCTCGTTTCCCTCCCTGAGGATTGATAGATTTTTATTTTACCTTGAGGCTTTTGTGCGCTTGTTTTTAGCGGTGACGCTAACTTGGCTGTTTAGTCGAGCCAAGCTTGAACAGGGGTAGGTGTCTCCACCATTATGGAGGTAAAGAGCTAGAAATGTGGAATGAATAATCCTGAAAACATACTGCACAGCTCGGTTTCTTTGATAGTTTCAGTAGTAACTTTCTGTGTAGGAAGTTGTGTCTTGTTGCCCTTGACTGGCAGTGTTTTCTTTATTTTCCTGTTTTTCTTCTTTTCTTGCATTCAACTGGCTCACAGCTCTGACATACACAACATTATCAACCAATGGCAAGATGTCAGAATTAATAAGTAGAATCACTGGAAATGTATAAACCTTGCATAGCTTTTCCAAGAGGGAAAGCTTTGTTTAGTGAATTTTTTTTTTTAATAAAATTATGCACCCAATTCTAATGATGTGGTATGATCTTCTAGCGACTACAAGCTAGCAGTCTTTTTCTTATCATTTTCTTGACAGTGAAATGTCTTTCCACATATCTAGTGAGAGGGTCATTAAGAAAGAGCAGAAATGGATGTATGGGGCAATATGTTTCTCTGCCACATTTCTCTATAATTGTTTCGTTCTTGGTTGAGTCAGCAGTAACTTTTTTCTTGACTAGTTTTTAAGCTCCAGGGGTTGCATTAATCTGGGTTCAAAATCCTTTTGAGCCATTCCCTTAGGGTCCGGGTTCCTAAAGGAAAAATCATAATGATGCAGAAAACACAAATTTAATTTTAGGAATAAGTGAATATACTTGCAGTTGGGTGTCTTTACAGTACAGGGTTCATTGTATGAAATAATTTTCTTTTGAGGTCGCTTAGATATATATTTTGAAGCCCTGTGAATTAAAAGTTTTTATAGGACTACTGCAAACATTAGGCTGATGCCAGCTGATAGCCTGAAAATTATCAGGGGTGTGTATGGAGCTTGAAAGAGCAGTAAATTAAAAATGTAATTTCTAAACTGTATTTTTTTTTTTTAAGACTTCCTATCTTTATTTTTCTTGATGCCAGTAATGGTTTTTGTTATCTGAACAGATGAAGGCTGCCTTTAAAAGGTGTAGCTTTTTGAAGTGGGATATATGGAATGCGGATTACAAACCTCCCTCACAGGAGGCACAAGAGTGCAGAACAAAGTGGTAATTTTTGATAGGGTAAGAAGTAATATTTACTTTTTTAGTGTTTAATGTTTGATCTCACTATTAAGCTTTAATAGTTAAGAAAAAAATGGAAAATAAGTAGATCTTTCCATTAGTAAGATTGTTCATTACTTTTGAATCAGAGGATAATATTTCCACTTGCTTAAATGTATTTATTCTGAAATTTCATATCGTTGATATCTACCTCAAGCTGAATTACATAACATTGATTTAGCTTCAGGTCCTTCAACCACATTTTCCAACTTCTTAAAACTTCTTCTAAAATGTCCACTCCTTTTGAGGACAAGGTTGGAGGAGGGGAAGGTGTTTCTGCCTTTAAAAAGAACTGAATCATCAGATTACCTTTATTTGATCTGTCTTCATGTTTGTGTACAAAAATGCTGGGTTTTGAAGTTTGTCAGAGAATTGCATTTTATTATCCCTATGAAATTATGTCTAAATTTTGAAGTGGTTGTTAAAAATCCTAAAAATCAGTTTACATGTCCTTAGTAACAACTTTGTGAAAAATTGTTTCCCTTTTTCAAAAAGGACTTAAACTCCAAAGATTCTGTTTTTCACAACTTTGTCCTAGGAACTGGCAGCTTTGTCCTGGTCAGGCTCTGAGTTTACAGATGATGCCTGAGGTGTTCCAGGTCAAGAGAAGAAGCAGTTGGCTGGAGTGTAGGAAGTACAACAGCAAAGAGAAAATGAAGTCATAGATCAGGTTATGACATCTGGTGAAAGCTATGACTGGATTTGGTGGAGGACTGGTGTTTAGACTATTTATGGAAGAGGAGGAAGAAGCTGAAACTGTGCAAGAATCTGGGGAAAGAGCAGTAGTGGATGTGGATCTTCTAAAAAAACTGTCTTTTGGGTGAGAAAACTGGACAAGGAGACAGATGGGGATTGAGATCAGATCTTGAGCCCAGAGGTGGCGAAGAGGAAGTGGAACTAGTTTGGTGAACAAGGGGAGAAAAGGCAGAAACACCCCAAGGAATTAAAGGGGGGGAAGGGGAGAATGGAGAAGAATTTGAAATGAAAATATGGAAATTATATTTCATGGAGTCATAAGAAACAAGGCTGTGAATTTGAGGGGGTTAAATTGACTGGCATAAAATAGAGACAGAGGAGTGGGAATTCAGGAAGAATAAGAAAGTAAGAAGAGACTGGGACAAGAAACACTGGGTGGCAGACAGATGAGCTGAAAGAGCGTGTGCCTATAAGCATAGACTAGAACTGCTAGACTCTGCTAATTTTTCTAACTGGTAAGTATCAGTGAAACCAAATGATAAAACCACTCTTTTCGCTCCTTCAAATATTATACAGCAAAGGAGTTGGCCAGATGTTTCTGTTCTGAAGCAATTAGGAATATTAGCAGTAAAATCCACATGAGGGAATTTTGCTGAGTTTTTGGTTTCCTCTTTGACTTTGAGAGCTACACAGGTGTAAAATCGAACAGCAGCAGCTTCAGGAAATGCCAGAGTGAAAGTTGATTAAACAGCCTCACATAGCCCCATCCCCTGATGTGTTATGAAGGTCTGTGATTGCTTATTAAGAGTAATTTTTGCTAAAGAATCTTAACTTTTCACTGCAGGTTAGTTAATGTGTAATGAATAAGTATCTAGTTAAATATTTGTTTTCACGTCATTTTGTGTGGCTTCGCATCTTACTTGTAGCAAACAAGTGAAAATGCTTTGAAGCAAAACGATTTGCTGGTTGGTTTGTTCCATCTCTGGCCCCCTGCACCAGCCAAGTCCCTGTGTTCATCACACAAATGATGATAGTACATAAGTTAGTATGTATTTTATCTGAGACTTTCAAGATATTGTCACTTTGTATGTTGAGATCTGAGTCACAGAACTTTTAACACAGGTTAAAAGTATCTTCTGCTATGGATACCTATTTTCAGAAGGCAATGACATAATACAAGGTGCTTTTCAAAGAGTTATACAAGTCGTTACATTTTAAAAATAAAACTTACTTTAAGTTGCAGTTGTGGTTTTCCCAGCACCCTGGTATGGTGGACCAAGCATGGTAGTCACTTAAACCATGTTTTGCTAATATCAAATAAAAACCTAATGGTGCAGACAGCGGAATAAAATTTATTTTTTCATGAAATTACGTGATTGCTTTGATGCTGTACTTTGTTTTCCTACAGGCCCCTGCAAAAGGCATTGCATGCCTTGTGCTAAGTAGGTGGAAAAGATATTCAACTCCGAAGCCTAAATTCTGGTGTTTCCAAACTTTAGAGTGGCATAATAAATTGAAAAAAGTATGTAATGTGGCTATGTGTATTTAACAGATTGGGGATGTTTTGTTTAACGCTTAGAAATCATAACTTCTGTAATTTTTGTAGAACCACAGGAAAAGAGGGTTAGAGGACATTTAGATACCATCTAATTTACTTTTTTCCCTTTAGATAAGATCAACTGCGTTATGTAATTTTGGTCAAATATATGCTTTGCCTGGTTTTGATGGTCTCTGATGATGGAGATTGTATATTGTACTTGAATACTGGTCTAGATGTACTATTAATACCTTTGAATGTTTTTCCAAAACATTGAACTTCAATCTTTGCTCTATTTTAAGGCTATTCCTTTTGTCTAATATTAATTTGGAAAATAGATAATTGCTTTTTTTTTTTCCTTGGGCAGCTTTTTGCCTACTTAAGGTGAAGGGTTGTTTACTTTAAAGTTTCCCTGTTCCAGCCTAAATGATATGGAAAGAGAGTAGGGAAAAATTAAGCCTAATTTTTAGCTGTCATATGTATTGATTTATTTCTTTTCTAGGGATTCCTCTTGGAAAATGCCAAACCGCAGGTTTGCTGATGGCGAGGTGGTGATGGGCCGCTGGCCAGGAAGTGTCCTGTATTATGAAGTACAAGTGGCTAGTTATGATGATGTTTCTCATCTCTATACTGTTAAGTACAAAGATGGGACTGAACTTGCGTTGAAAGAAAGTGATATAAGGGTGAGTATATGTTTACATAATTATCAGTATTTCTAATGGACTATTGATTCTATGATGTAGGTAAAAATAGAACTTAAAATTGGATAGTCACTTTGCAAGTTTTCATTAACTAAAAGCTAAATAAATATGTGACATCTCAAGTAGAAGTTCTACTTGAATGCTGACCCTATCTTTAAAGAAGCATAATTGGTTTCTTTATGTTGAAAAAGCAGTGATACATTTGGGGAAAAACAAAGTCTGATCATTCTGGAACTCTACAGCATGATTGATCATGGGTAGCTTATAAAGCTAGTAATCAGAGGGTTGATACCAATTTGACTTTTTTCCACTTCTAAATAAGAAAATTTGAAAACAAATGCAAGCATGTAAATAAGGATCACTGTAAATATAAACACTTTAAGCACATACTTAACACATCTGTGTATACGATACATATATGAGCACATCCCTTCCTCTTTAAATATTTTTATTATTTCATTTTTTTGTTACTAATAGAGGCCTTTAAAACTCTGCATACAAGTTTAATTTCAGTTTAAAATGTGATAATGCATTTTGGCCTTTTCTACTGAGACAAAATGTTTCCGGCTTGAGGTAGACAACTGTTTTCAGTGCTTCAAGACTTTCTAACTTGTTTACTTTGTGCTTGCAGGTTAGCAAACTCAAGCTGAGAAAATACCTTTCTTGGTCATAAAGCATTTGTGCCTTATAAAAGTTGTGTTGTGGAAATTTTATGTGGGAAAATTAGCATTGTAGACTTCACAAAGAAGCAAAACCGAATACTTTTGGGGAAAACTATTTATGAAATCGGTTATCACATCTAGTTCAATGATTTAGCTGACTTGGGGTTTTTTAATGTTGATTTGAGCTGTGTTGCATTAAACAAATCATTGCGTCTTGTATTAAAGTATATGTAAAGCCACATGTATTCAAGCTAAGTAATTGAAATGATAGCCGTCTCTTGAGGCTTAAGAGATGGCTACAATTTCATTTACTTATGCAAAGGCTGAAGAGGGTAGTATGCTTAAGAGCTTGGTGCTCACACTGATCGCTTGCGTCCATATCCTGATTTCTGTAGCTTTGACAGGAATTGGGACAGGATTATTTGGGTATTACCAGCAAAATGAGTATGCTGTAGTTGCTCTTTGTTAACGGCCTTTGTACAGCGTCAGTAAAGGAAATAAGAGACAGCTCTATAGAACTGCATGCCAGAGTCCTCATCACAAAAAAAGCAAGTTTCTACAATTACTCTTTGGACTGTCTAAAATAACATTTTGCTTTCTTCTTTTAGTCACAATCATCATTCAAGCACAGGAAGAGCCAGTCCTCTTCAAGTTCGCCCTCCAGAAGGAGTACTAGCAGATCTCGATCTAGATCTCCTGGTCGGCCAGCAAAAGGCAGGCGTCGTTCTTCTTCCCAAAGCAGAGAACGTAAAGATGACAAAAAGAAAACCATTCAGGAAACCAGCTTAGCTCTACTGGTATATTTTTGTTTGGTTGTTCTTTGTGTATGGGTTTGGATTTTTTTTTAATATTTTTGTTTGTTTTATTTTTTTGAGCCAAATTTTTGCAATTTGTGAAAGATTTGTTTTATACATACTAGGTTTATTGTTGTAAAAGCCAGCTGTGGTTCACGTTCCCTGAACAATGTAATTAGCTGCAAAAGTGTATCTCAGAACTGCCTTTTTTCTTTGAAAAATAGGCTTCCTACCTTGCAGAGTTGTGAGGAAGTTCTTGAAAAGTAAAAGTACGTTGTTAACTTCCATTTGAATCTGGTGGGACTGTGAAGTTCTCAGAATTCAAACACACACAGCATCTTTAATATTGAAGTAATTGTTAGCCATATGTTCCCACTTGTGAAATAGGGCAAAGGAAGTTAGCCTACTTTTAAGATGTATTTATCAATATGTAGCAGGTAGGTATTAGAATTTGAAATAAAATTAGCTCTGTTTTCATATACAGTTCATTAATAGTAGTGGAAAATATGTGAAGCTTCTGTGGGAGAATTTCTGCAGAATTCATGTGGAATATATATGTGTGTGTATATATATCTGTAATTACAGAACCATTTTCATTATAAAAACTATCCTGTAAGGATTTGCAAGTTTATCAAATATCTGGTTTTCAGCTGAAACTTACCATTCTTGGCCTTTTTCTGAAGGTTATATTGAGTTACAAAAATGGTTCTGGTGTCATGTTGCGTAAGTGAAGAATGGTTCAAGTGATGTTTCTCTTTTGGGAGACAGCATTTCTTCTGCCTCTTGTGCTCTTGAGATAGCTTCAAGTGATACTTGTCTGAGACACAGTCCCTTGAATTGGAAATACCTTCTACTGATCTATTAAAATAGATAGATTTTAGTTAGATTTCGACTGAACTGAACCAGACCAATCTACACTAAATAGATGGATTTAGTTTAGTGAATTGCTACTACTAAAAGCATTATTTACCACTGAAATTGCTGTGAGGAGTTAAAAATAACTTGGAAGCTGTATTCTCTCTTAATTTCACTGTTAAGGAAAAAGATAACTCATTTAAGAAAATTAAAAAATTAGTATTTGTCCCTTGTTTGTGAGCTGAAACTGTCCATCCTTTGGATATTGAACCCACTTGGTTTCCTGTGGAGAAGACTGGAGCAGTTGCAGTTAAAAAAAACCTGCTAGATAGTATTCTTAATTACTCATTATATACTTACACTTAATGCAGCTGTTATTTTCAGAAAGCTAAACCTATGTTTTTTTTTTTTTCTTTTAACCAGAAACTGAGTGAGAATAACACCAGAACATACAATGGTGAACCTGACAGTACAGAAAGAAATGACACATCCTGCATAATCTTGGAGGTGTGAACATTGTATTTACTCGTAGTTTTATGTCGCATTCTAACTTACCTTTCCCAAAAATCCCTAGAAAAGGGTAATACAATAATCAAGGAGAAATAGAATGCAATATAAAACGTAGAGTTCCAGTAAGTTTACTGTTCAGCTAACTAAGTTCTGGGGAGAGGGAGCTGAAGTTGTCAAAAGGGAAGAGTACTAGAGCTGTGTAACACTGATTTTTTCTTATTTGTTTTTCCCATCAAACCCTCGCTGGTTACTTGTGTTCATTCCCATGCTTTTTTATGTTTGGCCATAGAAAGTGATTTTGTTCTGTTTTTTTTTTTTTTAATATCCAAATCAGTTTTTTAGTCCTGATTGTTAGCTAATGCACAGAGTTATGGCAGAAAGGAGGGGAGGAGGATGGGAATGTATGACCTGTACTGGCACCACTGCTGATACGCAATCATGGCCTAAGTGATGAATGAATGAAACTGGTTTTAGCATGCTCTTCATATAAATGCATAAACTTAAGTACTCTATGGAAGTAGAACACATTGTATATTGGTGTTTTATAGTGAAGTGTCCTCCTAAATATAAAATACTGGAGTAAAATAAGGTAAAATCACTTAGATTTTTTTATTAAATTCCTTTTATTCATTAACAGCAAAAGTTGAAACCAGACCTGGAAATAGAGCGTGTGCTTGAACAGTACAGCTTGCGTCCAAGAAAAGAAGAAAAGAAAAAAGAAGAGATATATTCGGAGAAAAAGATTTTTGAGACAATAAAAACAGTTGAGAAAGCCTCAAAAACAAAGGAGCTGGAGTTTGGTGGAAGAATTGGTATGTGTGCAAATTGTCATAATAATTGAAAATTAGTACTTTATGTTTTTTACTTATTGACCATACTTCATGTCAAGAACTGTTTTTCCAATTTTTGGACCCTGGTTGCAGAATCCAGTCATGTGACGGGGCTTCATGTAGCCTGTACTGGTATTGGTGGTGGTCAGAGAACCGTTATTACACTTGATTCTCTTGTGAAATATAGTGAAGCTCTTAGGCCTTCCCTTGCACGGTGAGATTTAAATATTTCCAGATTAAATTTAAGAAGTAAAGTTTTTACATTTTCAAAACCTAGGTGCTTCGAGCTCGGCAATGAAGTATTCTTTATACAGTCTTTTGAACAGTTTTAAAAGGATGCAGTGGGTGCAATCCTTTGATTTGGTTATATGACCACATATGGGAATGAGAAGAATGTCTCTATATCCCATTACGTGACTGGAGGATTGCCACTTGTTTCAGGAATAGATAACGACAACCTCTTCTTTGTTACTGAAGTTAATATTGAGCTTTATTAGTGGGATTGAAACTTTTTTTTTATTTTCTGTGTCTATCTTTTAATATGACATGAAGTCTGTTTACAGGGACCTTCACACTGGTATTTTTCCTGCCTGCTACTGTGTTCTACTTGCTGTTGATGTGCAAACAAGATGATCCCAGTCTTATGAACTTCCCTCCTCCTCTCCCAGCACTTGAAAGTCTTTGGGAGGCTAGGGTGTTTGGTGTTTTTCTTCTGTGGTTTTTCCTTCAAGCTCTGTTTTACTTACTGCCAATTGGAAAGGTAAGCTGGTCAGTAGGAGTTGGGTTTCTATGGATAATTAATTTGTGCATTAGGCTGGAAGGTAGAGTATGTTCTTAATGCAGTGGATTTGAAAGCAAATTAATCCATTTTCCATATTAATCTGGAATACTGCAGATTTCTGTAAGCTTAAATCCTTAACAAACTGTGCTATTTTAACGGTTGTGCATTTCACAGTCTTAGAGTAGAAAAGGCAGAAGGCATTATATAGGAGTTCAAAGTGAAGCATGGATAAAGTTTGCTTGATAGAATTCTAGAAGAATTTCGGGTATCTGACTTTTTAAATCGACCAACTGTTTGATACCCAGTTTCTTATTGATATCCAGTGTTTGGAATATAATCTTCACTTACAGGAAGCTATAAACCATTCTAGCCATATGTATATCAGGCAAATGCTCTGTTTCCCTCTTTTTGTGACTTGTGACTCTGTGATACTGGCAGATCTGAAAGAACACTATTAAATAGATCATTCAATCATGTTATTCTATTGGTATACATGTTTACGATGATTGGAGCTGTTCTGTTTTCTTGAGGCTGGTTAGAGGTTTTTTTAAAACATTTTTATTTGAAACTGTTACCGTTTTGATATCCAAAGTATGCTTTTGAGAACAATGCACAATCTTCAGATTTGAATGTGTCCAGCTGGTTACCTTGACTGAATGTCTTTGTGGCAGAGCCGTGCTTGATTTCCCTCCCCTGCCAGTGCCCCCAGAAAGTACTTTGTTGAAACACTAGTATTTTACTCTTCCTAGGTTGTAGAAGGTCTGCCTCTTTCAAATGGAAAGAAACTGCACTACCGGATAAATGGTAAGCATGTTGCAGTTGCTGATTCTGAAATTTGATACCACAGTCTGATTTGCAGTGCTCAGTACCATAAAGATACAAATGATGAAAGGTACACTCTGTGGTCAAACCAGGTATCAGTTGCAAAGCTTTCATAAAATAGGATGAGCCTTTTCTTGGAAGCAGCAGGTTAGTGATGGTCAGGAACTAACTGCCCCAAGAGCAAGACATTACACTATACAGGGCACCTGGTCTGCATCCATTTGTGCCTGGTGACTTCTGTCATATTCCTTGCATAAGTGCTAGATGGGCAGTTGCTTATTGGAAGTGTTAGTAATGCTCATGTAACAAGCACCATTGCTCCAGAGGAGATGTTCAGAAGCGATTGGAAGAGATCTTATCCCATGTGTCTAGATCATCTTGGATGTCTCTGATTTACAGACTAAGAAGTGTGTTGTAATTGATTTAAGGTGTTCTTATTCTTGCCTGGTAAAGAACAGTTCTGAGTCCTTATTGAGGTCTGGTTTCAATTCCTATGAATAAGGCAAATTTTTCATCTAGGTTTAGAGTATGGTTTAACATGTTTCAGCAGTTCAGCTTTTTCAGGCTTAAATAGAAGAGTGTACTTTGATGCCTTGCAGGTATTCCAGACTACCTGTTTGATTAATTAATCAGTTCAAGGACACTGTCTGGTGGTAGTGGAATCCCAATGTTACATTAAAAAGTTGGGTGGGGTTTTGTCATAGTCTGGTAGGATGCACCATTTTAAAGTCAGAATAGGCCTGTAAATCATAGAAGCAGAGTGAATGACATCATGCGGAAGTGAGTCATACTGAGGCTGCTGTATAACTTTTTTTGCTTTTGGACTTCTGTCTTTACTAGAGGCATGGTCCTGCAATTTTTTTCTGCACTCTGATAAAGGGAAGAAGTAAGCTATATGATTTGGATGGTTTAAAAAGAAGGGGGGGTGGGGAAGAGAAGCCATCTTCTTGGTGCTTCAAAGGCTAATTCTCAAAGCAACTTCGAAAGCCTTCTTGAGGAAAGGAAGATGACCAGTGACAGGACAAGAGGCAATAGGCACAACCTGAAATACAGGAGGTTCTGTCTGAATGTCAGGAAACACTTCTTTTTGTTGTTGTTGCTGTGAGGGTGACTGAGCACTGGCACAGGTTGCCCAGAGAAGTTGTGGAGTCTCCATCCTTGGAGATACTCAAAAGCTGTGTGTCCATGGTCTTGGGCAGCCAGCTCGAGGTGGCCCTGCTGGAGCAGGGGGTTGGACTAGATGAGGTCCGGAGGTCCCTTCTAACCTCAACCTTTGTGACCCTGTGAAAAGGTTCATAGAAGGTACTTAAGTGAGAGCTGTATAGAGCTGCCTGCTTATATTTGTGTATCATTCCACTGTATGTGATTTTATACTCTCAGAGTACAAAAGTTTTGTGTTCAAGTTTTGACTTGACAGTTGTTTCAATACTTTAATTACTGGTGTCTGTACCAAAGTTTGTATGAAAATAAATACTTGAAGAAGAAAATGTGGTTCTCTGAGCTGTCCAACAGATAAGATTTTGTGACCTGCTGTCATTATCCGGTCAGTGTCCATTTTTCCACTAGAATCTAAAACTGGATCCTATGTTGTAAAAAATTTAGAAGTGCCCAGGGTGTTCCTGCCTCTTGTCCTTTTGACGAGGAGCACAGGAAATTTCAGGGCGTAGATAGAATATCTTAGATATATTGCTGTGCCCTAGAAGTTTGAATCTCATGGGATGTGTAAGACATTATTGGAATATCGACAAATCTTGGAAGAAGTAAAAGCGCAGCGAGGCTGGACTGGGTATGTTTTACTAGAATGTTTTTTTATTTTGGCTAATATCTTTTTCTTCTACATTCTTTAGGGTTTTATGCTTTTGTTTTGACTGCTGCAGCTATTGGAACTTTACTGTACTTTCAATTTGAACTTCATTATCTGTATGATCACTTCATGCAGTTTGCAGTGGCAGCTGCAGCTTTTTCTATGGTGTTGAGCATTTATCTGTACATTCGGTCCCTGAAAGCACCTGAGGAAGAACTAGCACCAGGTGGAAATTCTGGTGAGTTATAAATATTTTGGATAGTTTATTTCCAATTGTTTGCTACAGTTTCATTTTTATTAATTAAAAGCTAGATTTAGGGCTGATTATTATAATGCTGTGCCTTTTATGTTCTACCAATATAAAATTCATGTTGCAGGTTAAATGGCAATTTTTTGTTCACACTCGGATACTGTAAAATGCTTAAAATTTTAATTGGATTATCTTGAACAGCTTATGCAAAAATAGCTTGGCTGATCTAGTCCCCTACCTATGAGAGGCAAGTTCCTTTCTTTCCATTTTCAGCATTTGTCTAAGAGGTTTGTCTAGTTCGCTTGCCCCTGCTGCTGAGCCTTTTCCAAAACAGCTGGGGGTGGAAAGAAAAAGTGAAAAATCTAGACATTTTGGCAGTGGAAAGTCAGGTACAGAAACTGAAATTAGAGTGTATTTCTAAACTTCTGTTTTGTGGCACACTTTTAAATCTAGTTAGCTAAACTGAGTTTTCAAAAGAAATTTTGATTCAATCATGAGGCTGCCTACCTAGAAAGCATCGATTATCTGCCTTTGTTTTTGTAGAACAAAGGAGAGATTGAGAAGTCGATTAGCATTAAATATTGAACTTACTGCTTTTAAAAATGATCTCGTCTCTGGCATAGTAGTGTTCTGTAACTATTCTGCAAAGTGCTTGTTATTTGCTAACTCAATGCAGGATATCTTGAAGTCAAGGTATTGTATTTTGCTTCTTGTCCATATCTTTTGATGGACAGGTAATCGTCATAGCTAAAGAAATTCTTGCTCCTAGAGAAGAGTAATGAAGTAGGAAGAAAAGTAGGAAGGAAAGCAGAATTAATTAATAACATAAGATCATGTTGATGGAAACTAGGATAAGGCTGAAAATAAAGAAGGAACAAGTGTCAAGGAGAAATAAGCCTGCAATAATGTGGTGGGTTGACCCTGGCTGGATGCTAGGTGCCCACCAAAGCCACTCTATCACTCCCCCCCCCCTCGGCTGGAGAGGGGAGAGAAAATATAATGGGAAGCTTGTGGGTTGAGTTAAGGATGAGGAGAGATCAGTCAGCAATCACCGTCATTGGCAGAACAGGCTCGATTTGGGGAGAGATTAATTTAATTTATTACCAATCACATCAAGGTAGGATAATGAGAACTAAAACCAAATCTTAAAACACTTTCCCCACACCCTTCCCGTCTTCTCGGCCTCAACTTCACTCCCAATTTTCTCTACCTTCTCCCCTCTGAGTGGTGCAGGGGGACAGGGAATGGGGGTTGCAGTCAGTTCATCACACATTATCTCTGCAGCTCCTTCCTCCTCAGGAGGAGGACTCCTCACGCTCTTCGCCTGCGCCAGTGTGGGGTCCCTCCCCCGGGAGACAGGTTGTCCACAAACTTCTCCAACGTGAGTCCTTCCCACAGGCTGCATGCAGTTCTTCATGAACTGTTCCAGCCTGGGGCCCTCCCACGGGGTGCTATCCTTCAGGAACAGACTGCTCCAGCGTGGGTCCCTCATGGGCTCACAGGTCCTGCCAGCAAATCTGCTCCAGCGTGGGCTCCTCTCTCCATGGGTCCCTGGGTCCTGCCAGGAGCCTGCTCCAGTGTGGGCTTCCCACGGGGTCCCAGCCTCCTTTGGGCATTCACCTGTTCTGGCGTGGGGTCCTCCATGGGCTGCAGGTGGAGATCTGCTCCACCATGGAGCTCATGGGCTGCAGGGGCACAGCCGGCCCCACCATGGGCTTCACCAGGTGCTGCAGGGGAATCTCTGCTCCGGCACCTGGAGCACCTCCTGCTGCCCTGGCCTGGGTGTCAGCAGAGCTGTTTCTCTCATTCTCACTCTTCTCTCCAGCTGCAAATGCTGTGTATGGTTTTTTCCCCCCTTAACTCTGTTATCCCAGAGGCGCTACCACTGTTGCTGATGGGCTCAGCCTTGGCCTTGGCCAGCGGTGGGTCTGTCTTGGAGCCGGCTGGCACTGGCGTTGTTGGATATAGGGGAGGCTTCTAGCAGCTTCTCACAGAAGCCAACCTTGCAGCCCACGCCACTACCAAAACCTTGCCATGCAAACCCAATACAAGTAACTTCTAAAGCGTTTAGTTCTCCTAATAAATAAAACATTTGGGCCTCTTAAAATATAAACCATGTGGGTTTTGCTTTGTATTTTGCATATATTCTCACATTTTTCTTCTCAAACAAAAGGCTTTTTTTTGTTGTTTATAATGAGAGAACTTTTGTAGAAAGTAGAAACTGCTTTATAGGGAGGAGTGTAGTGGCAGATAAAAGGAAGAACGTTGCTAACAAAGACTGTGTCTTATCTGTAGGGTCGTTTGTTTATGATTTTTTTACTGGACATGAATTAAACCCTCGTATTGGCAGTTTTGACCTCAAATACTTCTGTGAGTTGCGTCCAGGATTAATTGGCTGGGTGAGTCAGTAATCTTAGTTATTTTATTTGCTTAAATATTAGACAAATGTATTTTATTTATATATTTAAAAATTGGTATTAAGGGTACAGTGTGTATTTATAAACAGCAAAAAAGTACTGACAAACAGTTTCATGTTGGCAGATTTTTAATGACCATTTTTATTCACTTTAGGAAAACTTCTACTTTCTAGCTTCTTTGCTTTGTGGCAAATGAAAACCCTTCTTAAAGTATTCCCATGTTGAAGCGCTACAGTTTCAGAAATATAGTTAGTTGCAAACTGTTGCTTGTGGAACAGATTATTCTTTTTTTAAACTTAAACATTGGTCAAAAACATCTGTATTAAAATGTCTTGTAGTGTTAATAGAAGAGACTGCTTTCTTTTACAAGGAAAATTTGTAATAAAATCTTTTCTAAACTAGGTTGTTATAAACTTGGCAATGCTTTTGGCTGAGATGAAGATACACAATCAAAGTATGCCATCTCTGTCGATGATACTTGTGAACAGCTTTCAACTTCTTTATGTGGTGGACGCTCTTTGGAATGAGGTAAATGGCAGTCGTATTAAACTGTTACATTTTTAATTACAATGTTAGATGAATGTGGCTTTGTAGATTCTAAATTCTTTCCTCCTTGTTTCTAGGAAGCCATTTTGACTACAATGGATATTACCCATGATGGATTTGGATTCATGCTAGCATTTGGAGACTTGGTGTGGGTTCCGTTTGTCTACAGTCTGCAGGCCTTCTATTTAGTTGGTCATCCTACTGCAATTTCTTGGCCTGTTGCTGCTGCAATTACTATTCTGAACTGTAAGTTATAGTAAATGTTACTGTAACTGGTAGTAACAATGTAGTACTGATTTTGTTTCTTTGAGTTGTGAGGTGAAGCTTTAGCTAAGATGCGGTAATCATATTTTCGGTTTTACTACAGCTGGTGGGAGCATGTATGTGTCTGGCTACTGTTTTAATACAAAGAACAGAATACAAATACATTGTTTGTTTCTTTTAATATTGTGAACTTGTAAATAGTTGGTTATCTTATGGAGTAGGCACTGTAGCAAAATACTAGGCTGCTAACAGAGCTATAATCTTACAAACTACAGTATATCACCTTACATTAATTTCAAACTCAATGTTACATTAATAAACTGTTTCAGATGTAAATGTGAAAATAAGGCTTCTCCAAAATCCGAAAGTTAGTAATGTGTAAGAGCATATGGAACACAGGTTTCCGATAGCGTTTCTGTCTTGTTAGAGCTCTGAGAAATGGAGAATATCAGTTACTGTCTCTGAGGAAAAGACTTCGATGTAGTAAGAGTGACAGAGAGCATGAGAGTGCTTTTGTTGAAGGAAAGAAGACTGAAAAATACTGAAAATGCAAAATAAATAATACTTATTTTCAGGTATTGGATATTACATATTCCGTAGTGCAAATTCTCAGAAAAATAGTTTCCGAAGGAATCCAGCAGATCCCAAATTGGCCTGTAAGTGCATTCTTATTTGTTTGTGTGTTGTTGTTTGTTCAATTGCTATACAGTGTCTCTTTGTTAAATACACAGTTCAATTGTTGTATTGACTACAATACTCTACTTACAGACTTGAAATTCATACCCACTGCAACTGGAAAAGGACTTCTTGTGACAGGTTGGTGGGGTTTTGTTCGTCACCCTAATTATCTTGGTGACATCATCATGGCTCTAGCATGGTCCCTACCCTGCGGTAAGTTCCTGAAACTAAAGTGGATTTTATCAAAAATGCTTGTGTGTTTTGGCATCTGACTGCGTTTGAAATGCCCGGTGAAGTCCCCATGAAGACAGGGGACTCGAATCCCCTGTCAGCATCATTAATGGCGGAAGTGGAAGTGTTGCTGTAACTGCGTGGGAATGGGAGGGAATCAGTTAAGTAGGATGCTCTGAGCAAAGCTAGAGTTACAGCCTACAGCCAAAATAGAGAAAACCCTGTGAGGCTTGTGTGGGGCAGCTCAGTGTTGCAGAGGTTTAACTATTTCTCTGATTTTGGTAGCTAAAGAACTGAAAATGTGTACCTGCTTTGCATGCATTGAGGATAACGTTGGTGGATTTTGAGACTCTGAATTTTAAGGATTATTTTTTGGGGTTTTGTGGATCTTTTCCCATCTACATGCAAACTTGTCACACAATTTTTGCACTATCCTGTTAAATATTTTATGCTTTACAATACGAGTATAAAATGTTTCAGTCCATAGGAAGTGTATGTCAACCAGCTTAGTACATGTTGTTAATAGTTAACATTTCTGGATTTTTTTTTTTCTGTATCTAAAGTGACTTTCTCACTCTATTCTACAGGTTTTAATCACATTTTACCATATTTCTATGTGATATATTTCATCTGCTTGCTTGTTCATCGAGAAGCTCGTGATGAACACCATTGTAAGCAAAAATATGGCTTGGCATGGGAAAGGTATTGTCAGCGTGTACCATACCGCATATTTCCTTACATCTACTAGAGCACTCCAGATGCCTGATTTGCAAATTACTTCTAAAGTTAGTTTCTTTGCAAATAAAAATATACCTCTTACCTTTGCACTTGGTCTATTTGTTATTTAGGCTTTTTTTAAAAAAAAAAAAGTGACCAAACAGTAGAGTGCAACAACAGGTATTTACAAGTAATCTTAAATATATGAGTTATGTGAACTGACTGTCTGTGACTTCAATTTTTAAAAAATTGTGAATTTTGAAAAGTCTTGGAGCCCTAATTTTTCAAGTTAAATTTTATCTATAATCCTGAGTTTACATTTTTATTGCATTTAATTAAGCACTGTGATGTAAAGTATATTATTTTCTTAATATGAGAAATACAGGAATTCCACACAGTTCATTTTTTGGTGTTACTTGTACCATCTAACTTCAGATGTCTGACTTAGTTGCCTGAATTGGAGGAGCAGCAGGGTCTTTCTGGTCAGTGGAGCTGGACACAGAGGATTTGACCCACATGAGGGGTGCTCGCTGCTGGCAGTGCTGCCCTGCAGCCCTGGGAGCAGAGCTGGCACAGCTCAGCTGGGTGGTTGTCCCCCTCCTAGCTTTTCATTATTGGTGGTTTTTTTTTTTTGTCAGGGAGGCTCAGGTGGCCCCTCTGACCCTGTGCCTGCAGGAGGGGCCAAGAGGGGATGGGATTGGGAGGAGAAGTGAAGGGGCATGACTATCCCCTCCCATCCCACCCCCACATTCTTGAGGTTGTTTTAGCACGGACTGTCGGGAACTCCAAGCTGCTGCCTGGCAGCGCCCCTGACCCTAGAAAGAAGTCACGCTTCTGGCTCAGACTCCTGAAGGTAGATGATACAAACACTTGTCTCAGCTGTGGAAGCGAGTAGCGAGCCCTACTACTGCATCTAGCATTGAACACGGGGTAGCAAAAGTTGCGGTGTATGTGTATTTGACGGAAAAGAATAAAATGACCGCAGTTGGCTTTTTCTGATCTTTGTAAATTATGTCTTAATGTACCATAGCGTTTACCAAGTGTGTATAATAAAGCCTCCACATTTTTGCTGTACAGTGTTTGGATTTGAAAATGCGATAGCTTTTTTAGAAACAGGAGAAATCAGTAACTAAATCCCTTTCCAGTAACTTAAAAAAAAAAGTTCATTGAATAAAGGGTTTTGTAAATTAATGTATTAATTCTTGAAACAATTGAAGTGTTCATTTAAATATTTGTATTGACAGATATGCTATGAAAATGTCAGAAATGCTCCTCAATCCAAAGTGTGTGTTGTTTTTTTTTTTTTAATTTGGCATTGCTACCTCATATGTAGGTTTTGCCTTTTGTACTGTTGCAGATAAAGAAAATAGCTATTTTTTGCTATTGCTATTTAAAACAACATTTTTTACATGAGCCTGTGGTTAAACTTGACCACTTTCTAATATATTTTTGTATATATTTGACTTTTTAACTAATGTATATGTTCTAGTCACTAGTTGTGTTCTTTGTCTAACTGGCTGTAAATCTAATGCCTTTATAGTATTTACTTCATAAGTAGAATAATTTTATATTTTACTGAAATAATCGTGCATTAATTAACTAGCTTTTATTCTGTTGTCACAACTGAGAGCTTTTCACGTACTTCATATATGAGGTTTATAGCACAAATTGTCCAGAAAAGCTTATTAGAATCTTAAATACAGTGGGGAAGGAACTGCAGGTACGTCCACACTTGCTTGCAGGGACATTCCTAATAAGTCAGAATGTTGCTGTTCATCAGTTGTTTTCAGTTCTTCCAAAATGTTGGTGTAATTGAAATCTAGCATGTGATTTTTTTTTTTTTTTTAATAAAAGAACCCTCTATTTTGTACACAGGCATTTTTAAAGATAATTGTACATTTGAAGTGTATATAATGTAGCTTGATGGTGACAGTCTCCTTGGAAAATCTGTATGTTGGTGTTGTAAGGAAAATATTTTAAGACAAGTACTTTGAGTCCTGGAAGAAAATAGCAGTGCCTGTAACAACACCGAAGAGTGCTTACTCGTGTGAAGTAGCAGATTAAACTGGGATACTTTTGTCAATGGTTGCTCTATGGATTAATAGGGATAGAGCAATCATTTAACTGCACCAGTTTGCAGCTGGTGTTTTAAAATGTACTGGGGTTGGGGGGTTAGGGGTGGGGGCAGTTTAGCTCCTCAGCCTGTAAATGAGGAGATGCTACTGCCATCCCAGTTCTATCTGTTGCCACACAAGGTTCTTAAAATATCACTGGTAGCCCTTGTCTTTCAGAAACAGATCTCGACCAAGGATAACTTACATGCTGTTTTCTGTGAATTTGATTTTGAAGTAATTGTTTTTAATACAAACAAGCCTGTAAATGAAAATAAAGCTTTTGCTTAAAATTAAGTAGTGCTTCTTTATTGCCCCCTTCCAGTTCGTGGTGATGTCTGAAAAAAATGGCATTGATTTACTTTATTAAGTAAAGATGCAAGTTTGCTGAGTTTCCTTTTGTAGCTGTTGGCGCAGGTTGAGTGTTACAAGCTCACGTATGGTGGATGCTTCTCTTAGCCTGTCTGGGAATCAAGTGTAAGGAGATCTCTCCATTTAAAAGGAGATCTCCATTTCTCCCTTCTCTTTTATGCAGAAGTTTAGAGATCCACCATCAGCCTGAGAGCACATTTGTTCTTTGAATCGGCTCTGTCTGTGTCAGCTGCTTTGCTCATCTGCCTGGATGGAAGAAAATCAAAGTGCTAAGAAGTAGGTGGAGCGGCAGGGGAAGGAAAAGCAGGCTTGAAAACCTCAGTGGAGAGTAACTTCAGTTGCTAGGTTAGGGAAAAAGTGACTGTCTTTACCAGCAAAGCTGATGGCTTCAGAGAAATTAGATACTCATCATTAAATGTGTCTCAGAACTTTTGGTCATGGAGCTGGCGCAGTAGGGCACCGCTTTTGTGGATCTCTGCCTTCCTCCTTGCCCGTGTGGTAGATGGACTGCTGTTACAAAGTGTGTTGGTAAGCCTGGAGGTGACTGTGTCCTGAGTCTTGGGAAGACCAGTGAAGTGGGTGAGGCTAATACATTACCTCTTTTTGCTCCTCCATTCTGTTAATCCAAAAATAAAATTACTTTTAGCTGTAAAAAGACAGAATTAGCACTTGTTTTGCCTGTATCGTACTGTATTTTCACCCACAGCTTCTGTTAGAAGTCAAAACCAAACAAGAGCTTTGTGTAATCATGGCCTTACAGCCTAAGGGCTACTGCCTAGGAAATGAGTCTTGTGCTAGTTTGACTTAATGTGAACAAGACTCTGGTAGAAATAGGACACGTGGCTAAAGGAAGTTACTTATCAGGTTTGCTTAAGTTATATTTGAGCTCATAACAGCTCATCAAAACCTCACCAGAAGGATAGTTCTTGCTTCTTGTGGAATGAAAGCTGTTTTGGGAAGTGGGTGTAAAACTTCTCCAGTGTGTGGATGGAGAACATCTTGTGCTGTCTGTATATATAAACCAAAACATTCTTTTTCTGTTGGGGAAGTTCCCTGAAATTAGAAGAAAAGACTTGGATAGTGCTTTTAAGTTTTTAATATTTCAGATTTTTTTTGGAGATTTTTTTTTTAAAAAAACTTCAGTTCTACCTTTTTGGATATAAAACGGTAAGCAAGAACAATGCTGTAGAGTACCACGAAAAAAGTGGAGAAACCTTTGGAAGAAAAGGCTGAAGGCGCCAAACGGGATTGGTACTCCAGCTTTTTTGGGGGGTGTGGTTGCCATTCGCCAACATACCCTCTGCCCTTCTCCTCAGCAGACTCCAGTGCCACTGTAGCCAGATGTTTCAAGCAATTTTCCTGTAGTACCTTGAGGCAGTTTGTCCTCCTGCTGTCCGAACGGGGATAGGAAATGAGGCAGTCTGTTTGCCGCCACGGGCAGGCGGGCTGCGGCAAGACCTTGTCGTGTCTCTTACAGCGTTGCGTGTCATCTTGCGTACGCTTGGCGGAGCAGGTTATTTACTCGTTGCTTGTTACTTCCCAGCGTCAGCCCCGCGCACCCACGGATAGCATGCCTCAGTGTTGGAAGATGACGCTTTTTCAGTGCAACTGTTTGCTTCTCTGCTGCCCCTCTGCGTGAAGGGCTCGACGAGGGTAACGGTTCACTGAGTCCATGTATTCTGCAGTTCCCTCCTCAGCCTCGGCCAAAGGAAGGAAAGCTGAACATGCAGCGGTAATGCCTTAAAGAACAGCTATTGGATCCTAAGCCCACGCTGGGGACCTGTGTGAAATGCAGGTGGAGGTGACTTGCAATTGAAAATGGGGAATTTTGAGCCAGTAATACTTGCCTTGTAAAATTCTTCTTGTGGGAGATGCAGATGCCAGGAGAATTTCAGTCAGTCCGTGGCAAGAGCCATGAGAAATGTCTTGGCAGATATTCAGGAGAAATATTTAACAGAGATCTCAAGGGTGAGAAACAACCCTCATCAGTGGAAACGCACTCTGACATTTAAACTGATACATACGTGCAATGCCTCGTCCACTCGACACAGCCAAATATTAACGTCACCAGCCTGTCTCGAGAGCCCCGAGACTTGAACTGTGCACGCATGAGCTTGTCTGCTCTTCCTGGGAGAAGCTTCCCAGGACTCTTCCTTATGGTGCTTGTGTTCCCTGTTGGAGCTGTATATTGCTAGGTTCAGTCAGCCTGACTAAGGACCTTCTTCCTCCTGTATTTCAAACTGCTAAAGCTTTTTAATCAATTGACCGGAAGGAGACTCCATCTAAAACTTAAAATCAGATGACGTGAGATCCTTAGGAATATAAGTGGAAATTAATGAGCAGAGGAAGGGGGACAAAAGGAGGAAAATTGAACTGAAAGCCACATCAAAGTCCAAACCATTTGCTTTTGGCAACAGAGCTTTAAAAAAAAATGTACTGTGACTATTAATAGAAAAGCCTTTCTACTGGTACGACAAATGATGCTCATGCGAAGTTGTTCAAATAGAATAATGATTTAAAGAACCAAAGGGGAACTATTTCATACTCT